GAAATTGTAATTTTATCCATAATGTTCCTAAAAGAAAACATTAAGATTTCGTGGTCGATTTTAACATTTGAATATTTCCTTTTCCATTTTACTAAAATTACTACGCGAAGAATTGTATCGGTCATAAAAGTTTGTCATTACGTCGCACGTATGAAATTGGTCGCTTTGTAATATAAATCCACTTTTACGTTGCACAAAGAACGATAATTCTACTTTCATCAAAAAATTAACGAGGCTTTCGGAAGAAATGGGAATTTTATTGATTGGCAATAATATTTTTGTGCCACCGTTTAACGTCTATGTTTTATATTGACTAAATCTGTTCGTAAATAGTATTTATTTTTAACTAGAATTGTTTTTTTAACTGAAATAGAAATAAAATTAAAGATAGAGATTGTGTACGAATCATCTATTTTATATCCTTATTAAAAGTAATTAGTTTGCTTTGTTCTTGGTAAAAGTTTCACGGAAAAATATGTACTTTCTTTGTATCTGAAATTATCATGTTCTTGCGTATTTTCTTTGAAATGACATTCTTTAAAAGCATGTATTCAGTTTCGGCTTTGTACATTGTATTTAATCGTTAGTTCTTTTTCTATTCCGATTGCTATTGCCAGACTAAGAACTATTATGGAATTCTTAATGCAGCAGCTAACGAGTTGTTCTCATCCCCCACACACACAAATTGCTTTTACTCCAACAACGCTTTTCCATCAGAGTTGTATAAAAATATTTTCTACAATTATGTAGGTTTGCAAGTAGTTTCTTCAATACCGTGCATATGCCTACATTACCAGCAGGTTTCTTCAATTCAGTCGGTAGACCCCCTCTAGTTCTCGACTATTGGGGTTGATCGTCACGATAAGAGTAATCAGAAAATGATTTTGTTGTGGCTTTTCCACGAAGAGCAATGAACACATTACCGGAGTTTTCTTGTCGATAGAATCAAAAGTAATTTTTGCTAGGGCACAAAATGCATTGTCCTCTTTTTGAATATTGGTTTTATCGTTTTGTGCATACAAACAGACATGAAAATGCATTTCTGCCGTGACTGAGTTGATTTTCAACTTTGACCTTCCTGCTATTTCTGATGCTACCTGCAACTTACAACAACGACTGCAGCAACTCGTCACGCTTGAATTAGTCGCTTTAATTAAGTTTGCAGGCTGTTCTTGATAGCGAGTTACTGGATGACGGTTCAACACAAAATTTTAACTAATTTATAGAGTCATTAAAAATTTCACCTCATGCAGACACGCTTCACTGGGATGTTTTAATTAATTCAAGTTTTTTATGTCTATTTTTTTACACTTCGCTAAACTAGATGCTTGTCAATGAAGCTCAGGAATGGCAATTTTTTAAAAGGATAATACCTAATTCGAATACATACATTCTTGCCGTCTTGATGCATATTGACGAGTGGACTGCAATAATTAAAATTAATATTAATTTCCGCGGTTTTCAAATGGATGCATTCATTTGTGTTCAGCTTTGATACAGTTTAATTAGAAATTGTATACAAAGCATACCGACAGTATTTATGCGGTTTTGCAATTTCAGAACGAGTGAAATTTTTTTGTTTCTGTATCTACCGAGAACGTTTTGAACATCATATTCAACTAGACTATTGTAAACAACTTTATCCTTATTGAAAAGTTGTAGAACAACTCTATTCATAGCGAAAGGTTGCTAACAAAGTTAAATAAGTTTAGCACCCAACAAAGAACTACTCTAAAACTTCACGATTTCTAATTATTCTCTATTGCTTGCTGCAAGACTTCGAGATTTTGTGTTCCTACACGGTTTCCTATCTAACCATGATATAATTCATATGGTTCTAAATTCAAAAACACCATCAATCAAAACGCAAGAGATATATTGTATGTATAAAAAAGAAGAAAAATTTGGAACAAATAAGTAGGTGTTTACGCAAATCAACACAAATTCAAGCTTTTGACACAAAAATCCACTTGTGTCATTATGAATATGTAGGGCTACTTTGTACCAAAACTACCAAAAGCGCTTCACGTCTATTATGATTATTTTACCACGTTAAAATTTACAAAGCAATTTTTTCGTTGTAACAAGTGCTCGCTTTGTAATTTGTAGATATACGAGTACAAAAAGTGTTTTTGGCCCAGTTATTGAACATCGTTCTACATCCTCGTTGTTTGTTTCGTCAAACATGATATTAAATGATTTCCATTATATAGCGAAAAACATTTTAGAAACGTGACGCAATAAGTTGGAGAAGTACTCTCATATTTCTTTGTCAGTCTAGTTCCAATCACATTTCGCTGAAATTATTATGAATCTTCTTTGGCCGCTGTTGACATGAGATAAATACGTTGCAGGTAAACACAAAAAGGCGTATAAATCAAAATACCTCAATAAATGAATCAAAATCCATCTGAGGAAAGACAAATAAAGTGTTCCTGCTTCGTGTAAACAAAGGCCAATAAAAAGTAAAGGAGGACGGTATTCTTCGATAAGGGATAGGGAGACAACCCCCAGAGTGTCTATGTGGATGTCGCAGCAAAGACTACGCTGCAATTCGCCTTATGTAAACTTGCCATTTACGTCTCGAAATGTAAATAAATGACGAAACAATCTGCACATGTCGTCCTTTGAGTGCCATGATCAGGATACGTGTAGCTATACAACAACCCACATTGTTTGCTACAGCAATAGAGAGATACGCTGCCAAATTCAATCAGAGACAAACATAATATCATGTAATGTCAATTCTGATGTTCAAATATAACAAAAATCAATACTGCACTTGCATTAATTTGATATTTGCATTTCGTGTTCTTTAATAAGGCTACTACAAAGTCCAATTAGGTATATCATTTGTCACCATGTATAATTAGAGCATAGTTTGTGTCGTTATTACCAAATTAATAGCCCCTTTACAACATGGTTTTTTTTAATTTACGTGATGTGTCATAAAATGACCAGAAACGTAGTTCTACCTATAGGTGTAAGCATAAATAAGACTACCAGTCTTTAGAATCTAATCGTGAAAAAGTGAGGGTGCATTTTCCTCATTCATTAATAGTTAGAATTTCCATTAACGTTTCAGGAATTACTGTTTTAGTTTTACTAATCCTTATTTATTTTATCAAGAAAAATGCGGTAGAGCGTATATTTAAACGGACCTCTGTTAACTACTTTTTGTTGGAAATTAGAAAACTTATTTCGTCGTTTTAAAGTTCTCGTTATAACTTTTACAACAAATAGGCGGTTGTGTGCTAATTTTCCTAATAAATTTATTGCTCATGCAATGAAAGCATGCAAGTCGCTGAGTTTTACTTACAAAGGAAAGCTACGACTTATTCTTTTCAGTTAGTGGGGTGCTTAAAATCAAAATAAGGTTCTTGTCCCAAATACGAGTAAGACCAAAAAAAGAAAGAATGTTAGTTTTGTTTTCTATGCCAATGAGATGAACAACTGAGCATGTGTCTATGTTTATCTTACTGAAGATACGTTTATGAAATACATTTATTTGTTCAGATTGCAGTGACAATTCAGATGTTTATGCACATGTGTCATAACTTTTTGTAACAGTTATGTTTTTATTTTTCTATTTTTTTTTATTTACGGCTTTATTTGTTGTATAGTGCGCCTAATAAGACCACATGTTAAAAATTATTTAAAAAATATTAATTAATATTTAATGTGTCTAAATAAGAAATGTGAAAACAACGTATATTATTGCAAAAATATAAAATAACAGTAAATCTAAGGAAGTAAAATTAATATTTTAGGTAAAGATTTTATGGGGTTCCAAATCCTTAATGTGGTCTTATTTGCGACAGGCACCTTATTCGCCATTATTTAACGATTTCAAAATTATTTTAAAACACTGAATTATACAGGATGAGTCACGTATAAAAGAAACTTTGACTGATTTTAGGACGCAACCCGAAATACATTCTTTGATGCCACACGATACTTGATGTACTGTTTGAGAAATTGAAAACTTTGCGTCCTACCTTTGTACCTTTGTACGTTTGACGGTACAGATTTAGCCACAGAATTTTTGTGGCATTTTCCGTATGTCAAAATCATGTTAGTTTTTTTGTCGTTTGAGTACATTTTGAATTCATTGATGATACTGTCAAATTTAATGCATGACATATCAACAATTACTTTGATTTAAAAATTAATAATTTAAATTTTGCAACGCAACAAAAGCCAAGTTATTTGTGAGAATGTATTTTGGGTTGTGTCTGAAAATCGATTAAAGTTTTTATTATATGTAACTCACTCTGTATATTTCATATTATTATAGCTATTTATGTATCAAGTACGCAAAATAAGGTTTTAGGGGACGTATCGTAATTAATGACGAGGCGATGTAGGAGCCGAGCCTTTAATGAGAGGAGTCACCTAAAACCTTTTGCGTACGTGGTGCATACAAGATTTTTTTGTCAAAGCTCCCAAAACACGAATTCTCACCTCTTATTAATTAAAAAAATTTCGTTACTATAGTAACCAATGTTATTTTTTAGTCTGCAAAAACTGTTTTTTTGGGGACAGTCTAAAATAACCATTTTGCGTATTATTTTATTGAGTCCGGAAAAGACTCATTTTAGGAACTCAAATGAGTTCCTAAAACAGCTGTTTTCGGGAGCGTATACAAAAAAGTATGTATAACAGTTTTTGTATAATAACATAATACCTAACAAAATGTTTTCAATTTTCTATAGTGAAAGTGTAATAGGCCTGACCTGACCTGTATAGATAGATAAAATCCAAAAATAAAAAAAATAGTTATATATTTGTTAGTTGCTGACATAAAAAGAAAATAAAGCAAAAATTAGCACATTTTTTTCTTTGTGAATGACCTACTACCCGCTCCATTAAATTACCATCATTATCCACAAGGGGCCTTATTTGAAACTCACAAGTGTATTGTATGTTGCAACATCCGATCGATTATCGCATTAAAACAGTATTATTGCATATTTATTAGAGGGAATAAAACATGATAGTATTTATTTAGATATCAATAATTTTTAATTAGAATTATAACCAAATAGAGAACATTTTGGAATGTACAAAAGCTTTAATAATAAATAAAGTATACAAAATATTCATGAATGTACAAACACTGTTGATATTTACATTAGTACAGTGTTAACAAATTATGAGATGCAAGTAAAGCTTTAACAGAAGGCGTCAAGCCTTGAAGGAGATCCTCAAACCCCATATCTTGATCTTTGTCATTAGCAATTGGCAGATTGATTTCCACTTCGTCAGTCTGAAATTCACTTTAAACAAGAGTTTAAAACGTACAAAAATTCACCTTTAATTTTTGGAAAAAATCATCTTGTGACTCTTTCCCAATTGTGTTCATTTCTGCATCACCACATGGAGATTCTTTAATTACATTTATTGCGTCTTTGTCAGACTCATTGCTTGTGATAGAAGAAATTGTAGTATCGCCGATATCTAGAAAAATCTCTTGTGGTCTGTTTGATGAATCTATAATTAATAAATAAGTAAATATTAAACTAATTACAAAGACCACCTTTCAATGACTTTAATGAATTTGCACGTTTTAAAACTTCACCATTCAATTTTTTTAGTTGTGTATTAACCTGGTCTTGTATTTTAGTCATTTCTTCTTGAATTTCCTTAATTTCCTTGTCTCTTACAGCTAACATAGTCACAAATTTCTCCTTTTCCATTTTAAGCAAAGCCATATCATATTCTAATCTGGCGCAAGTCTCATCTGACATGCTCTTTTGTTTCTTCAAATCGTCTACTATTTTTTTTAGATGATTTATAGCAGGATTGTCTCTCAGTTCTTGTGTAGCTTTGTCAAGTTGTTCTTGTAAATATTGTTTTTCATCCTCTAATTGTTTTATTTTCATGGTTGAGATTTCTTCCTGCAAGGTAACACAAGGTTGTATAAAAAAATCAAAAGTATAAAACTACCATTTCAATTTCTAGTTCTTTCACACGGCCACACAACATTTCAACATTTTCCCTTGCTTGATCTAACTCTTTTTCAGTCAATTCTTTTTCATTTTGTAGATTTGTGCAGACGATTTCTAGTTGTTTGCAGCTAGCTTCAAGTCTGTATGTGTTTTCTTCCATGATTTTCTGAAATTTCTCGGTGTCTTCTTGATACAAAGTTGGTGGTGTTTGACATGTTTTGGTTGCTGTACTTTTAATGGTGACACCTGAGGCCTCCTAGAAATTTGTCTGTGACAAAGTAATTAATTACAATTACACTCACTGATAGTGGATAATCCGAATGTGGGTGGTGTAATAATGTAGATATTTCAGGAGGAATTCTTTTAAGTGCATGTTGTATGTCAGCGACCATTTGAAGAATCTCATCCCCCTCTTTAAACATTAACATAAATGGAACTGTTTAAAGTGAAACATTAATTTACCTGGGACAACATTTTCAAGTTTTGTAAAAAGTTCTTTAGATAAGAAATGTAAAGTCCTCAATGGGTCAAAATTACTGAAAAGTGACACTTTTTCTTTACTCTTATTGCATTGCAAAATCTGCCCCCAAGCTTCTCGTTCTCTATTTCCCAATCGAACGGCAGATACAGACCTGGCTCTGTGTTTGGAAACTTTTGAAAAGTCTTTACTCTGGTTGTCACTATTCTGTACGTTCAATACAGCTTGAGCTGTGGCTTTTTGTAATGGGCTTTGATTTCTGATCGTTACTTTCGGTTTGACGCGTTGATTAATGACTGAGGGTTGTTTCACGATATGTGAAATTTTCTCTTGCTGGGGTCTAAAAGCTGGCGACCTTTTTACAGCAAACATCTGTTCTTGTCTCATCATTTTGTTTAAATATTTCTCACATGTAGCTGCTGTTTCACTGTTGGATACTGTTCGCAGCTTGTGGTTCATTCTGGTTAATCACTACACTTCAATTTAAACAAAACCAAACAAACAACATGAATTTATGGTCGGGAATATTTGACGTTAGAGGTTAGAAATTTGTTTACACGGGAGATTCAAAGCCCGCCATGTGAAGTTTGTGCAGAACATGCGCTTTGAAAGCCCGCGATCTTTGAATGAATGAATACTCGTATTTGAAAAGCAATAACTTAATTTAATTAATCGTGTATTAACAAATTTTCATGTTTTTTTATATAATTGTATTATTTAGATTTAGCCGTTGAGATTATTTTGATAAAACGAAAATGTTTGAAGTTGAGATATGTCCATAATTACCGTTAGTTATTATTTGGCATAAACTCGGCTGTCCCAAGCTAAAACACAATATCTGCTTTTTAATTAATGTTTTACTGGACCCAAAAATAGCTTATTTAAACAGCCCTCCTGAATGACTTGCTCTCCACCTACATATTATTTAACTTAAAAATATTGTTTTTTTAAAAGCAATTTAAGACGTGTGTGTAAAAGACAAGTAAAACATCATGAAAAATCTATAGTTTCAGATACTGTGTTTTTTATTAGTATAATTTTTACAAATACCTAAAATCTCTAAATTAAAATGAAGTAAATACAATTTCAAGCAGTTTTCAGTACAAAAGCAATTAATTAATTTTTATTAATTAATTGTTTACTATATATTATTATAATAGTACCTACCTACAGATAAAAGGTGTCTCAACAGGAAGTGTAATTTTAATTAAAAAAAAAAACTTTTTTTTTAATATTATTTTTTATTTCAAAATAAAGTTCGAACGTGGAATACAATATCTGTCAAATGTTAGCCTTTGCTTCTTTGGCAGGAAACCATTCTTTTACGGAAGTTTTGGACATTTTTACATAAAGAACAAAAGATAAAAAAGACAAACAAAACAAAATGTCCTAATCATTTTGGGAAGGTGTCGGGTTTATCATCGCCCTTGACGTTTTACTTTTCCAGTTTTTTTAAAAAAGCTATCTTGATTTCAGTAGTTTGGTTCCAAATAAAATTTTAATAATTTTTGGGATACTTTTTTAATGTAATTCAAATTTATGCATATGTTCCAACGACGGTAGATTATAATTTTTTTTTGCAATTGGAGAAGCAACTTACCTTCAACTCTTTAAATTCTAAAAGAAAATAACCATCCTGATCAGAGATGTGGCAGATATAAACTAACAAATAAAAGTTCGATTAAAAAAAATATGTTGTTATTATAAAATTGTAAAAAACATAGTTTTTCATACTTATTTGAGTTATTTCTATTTAAAAAATAGAGTAGAACCTACCGTTTCTGAGATATTTTGTAGATACTGTGTTTTACACTGGGAAGAGGACTTCTGCGCTGTAGTTACTGTTTTTGACAAAACAATTTTGTTTTACTAATTTTAAACAAATAATTAATAATGAGTATTTAATTGAATGTAAGCATGAAAATAATCTAAAATATGTAAAAAACTAATTTTTTTAAAAATTGTTAGTTACTGTGATTTTGTTTGACACAGCCGAACTATTCCCTAAGTTTAAGCTGTATTAGTGTCATATTTATGATTATATACAGGGTAACCCACGAGTAATAATGAGCCTGAAAATTTTTTTGAAGCAACCAACATTAAATTTCATAGATAACATGACTAAAAAAAATTACTACTAAAGTTTTAGAAAGTCCGTCTATTTGGATATCGCGCTGGATAGAAACATGCAGTCTGCGAAGCGTTTTCCAAACATTTTTCACAAATGAGAATCTTGTTGATCTTTTCGGCAACATTTTAATAATTCCTTCAAAATTCTCCAAGGTTTGACTTTTTATAAATTAAAGTTGAAGTGTGCTGTTTTGTCACTATGTTTAATTTATTAAAACATGATTAAAACTAAATATTTTAATATCCACGTTATCTTTGAAATGTAATGTTGGTTGCTTCAAAAAATTTTTCAGGCTCATTATTACTCGTGTGACACCCTGTAGTTATTTATTAAACAAAAAACAAAAAAGAAAACTTGCTCATTGTCTGTGAGTGATTGGTATATGTATGATACAAGTGCTTAACAACTCTTACAAAAAAAAGGATTTTGGGCCTAAATAAATTCATCAGTTTTGTGATCTATCAGCATAATAAGCTCATACAGCGAATGATTACACTCGGACTCGTAAGTGTGTGTTGGGAATATGACAAAAATCTCACTCGATTCGCTTGTCCATCAATTGGCGTCGTTTCGGCGGTGGAAATGCGAGTGGAGCTCGTGTGGACGGGGCGTCGGTCTGCGTCGTTGTCCATCCGTGGGTCCGCGTCTGCCCCTACGTTGCACTTGTTCAATATGCGTCGCGGCGCTATTATCAGAGCGGTGGAGCCCGGCCAGGCCAGAGTGCCGACGCCCATCGTCGTCGGAAGCTGACGTCACGCGAGTTGCGCGCGTGTCCATAGCAACCTCTACGTCACCGTCGGGCGCGGGAGCAGTTAATGGTCCAGATTTATCCCGGTTACCCCACATCCGGAGCCGTTACGGCTTTACTTTAGTTTACACCCTGCTGGATATCTTACAAAGGGACGCCGCTCCATTTTTATTGTTCCATTATTATTGTTTTAGCTGCGTACTTTTCAGATGATATTTTTTATACTTTTTTATCTCGTTTCCGCCATCGAAGTCGAAGTGGCGAAATGAACAAATAGAAAAATGGGGATTTTCATTTCGTGAACAAAAGCCTCCGACAACACTAAATTTCCACCGACGATATTGCTGCTTTATTTGTTGCATGCCTTCATAAATAAATTGCCCGCATTTCGCTCAGGTGCCGGAAAATTCCATCCTCAATTACAGAAATATCGCCACCCTTGCATCCACGACGAATAACGACCGACCGGAAAAGAATTCAGTGCCCCAGATAACAACACCCTTTTCCACACGAGGGTCGCATGCACACAATATATACAACTTGTATTTCGGGAAATGTTCAAGTGATGAAAACGGTTCTATTGCCCTATTTATATGCGTCAAAATTTCACTCGCATATGGACGATTAGTCTTTAAGATTCCCAAATGCGGAAATTCATCACGCGAATGATACACATGTGCCACAATTTATAATACGTGGTACTTACGAAAATTATACCTACTTCGCTCCTTTAAATGCCTCATAATTATGATGTATGATTAATTCCACCTTATAACCTGTTATCTCTCTTTCCATGTGAATGTATAGTATTTGCCGAGTGTTTTGAAAACGATAAAAAAAGAGTGTTTATAAAACTAACAGTTATTGTTTCTTATCTGATACCATAGAGCTAATACAAATAGAAACCTAAATATGGTAAAAATCATGGGGGTAGAACGGTGCGTCATCTGACGTTTCTCCTCACCATATTTACAAAACGTGAATTTTTTCATTTAAAATTTAATGTAATAGATTGGAAATGACTTTTTCTACATGCAGTGTATTCATTACATCATTAAGCTTTCCAATGTTTTTGGATGTTGTATCTAAAACTTGCAATTTTTAGTGTAGGTACAATCAGTATAAAACCGATTTTCTAAAGAACAATGGGTAAAGTGGGAAGAAAACGGATACAAAATTGGTATTTTATAAACAGGATTTACAAACATAAGAAGCATAGACAAGTAATTTCTTACATTGAGTTTTTTAAGGGTTTAAAACTATGGACAATTTGATGCATTCTTCCAGGTAAAAAAAAAGAGAAAGTTGACATCTACAAAACAAAGTGCCATCTTACATCCTTCGAAAACAAAGCTACAAACGTTAAGAAGCTTTTATTCTGATCTTATGAAAACCAGAAAATTACTAATGTGGGAGTCATAATAATGCGTCTATTTCAATTTGCACTCTTAATTACTTCATTAAATAATAGACTTCTTAAACAACGCTCATATTTACCTCAAATAATTACAATTTTATTTACAGAGTGTGGTTTCTGCGATACATGTACAATATGTAAAATACTAAAACAGCATTTGAATGTTTTTTTATAAGATTGGCCCCATTTTTTGTAGAATAAATAAAGGATGATAGGGGGCTAATTTTTATCGGTGACCCCTTATTATTTCAATTTTTTACACTAACACAAGTGCATTTATGCCTGATTTCGTGGAAGTTACTTAATCGTAAGGAATTATTAAAAGAAACTAATGAGACGCAGAACAAAATCAATAAATCAACCAATAAACAAAAAATACTTGCAAATTATACCAAAAAGACTTTCAACGACGACAATAATGTTACTATCAATGTCAAATTGACAAATTCACTCGAACATGACATTTGAGTGGTGTAGTTGAAGTACACATGTAAATTAATGTTCAATGTTACCATCCTTAGAGACCCTTTAATTGTTTCAATTTACATTGTGATAGAATTTTTTATTTCACTTTTGTGTTGATAATGAAAAAATGAAATTGATGACGCACCGGTCTATCCTGGTGATTTTTACTATAGCTATTTATTTGAGACTGGCTGGAGTAGTACATATTTACCTATTTTTTACATCTATTTAATTATATGACAAATTGTTGTTAAAATTAAATAAGTACAGAAAATTACAATTACCTATAAAAATGGCTCCAAAACAATTGAAAATACACTTTTTGTAAGTAGAAAGTTGTTAAAATGGTACTAATTTAGTAACTATTTTAATTAGTGTAACGTATGAAGAATAGATGTTAAAATATATTTTCAAGCTCAAGTAATTCTTAAATGAAATATTTTATGAAGATGATATAAAATTTTTAATTAGGTATCTAGAAGTCGATTTTATTAAAAATATACTTCTAATAAAAATCTAAACAAGGTAAAGATTGGAAAAGTTTGAATTGCTAATAATAGATTATAATCTATAGATTTTGGTATCTGCTAAATATTGTCGAAAACAGAGAGCAAAATTTGTTTTGCATTTTAATACTGTTATTACACTCGTAAGAGCGTCAATGAATATGTTTTATTGTAATAAATTTTTATGTTGTTTTCTATCGGAGGTTTATTCAGTTTTTTTGAGAGCTCGAATTTTTGTATGTATGAAGTTGTGTAAGTTTTTAAAAATGTTTGGATAAGCTGTGAAACATTCTGTATGTTTTCAGTTAATATAATTCATAGTTTATTTATGAATCATAAACAAGTTTTTTTGTGCTATTTGTAAAAATAAACACAAGGGTAAAATCAATACGTATAGGTATTTTTACTATTTTCCTCTTTTATGAGTCAATTTCTTTCCCGATTCTTTCCATCAGCCGAATTAGGTGCCGTTGCGATTTTATATCCCACCGCAAAACTCTTTTTTCTTACAATTCGAATGAGTCATTGGTTATATTAAAGCACCGATAATAGATCCTAGAGCATTTTGACCATGTCGAATGGTGGAATTTATACGGAATCCTTAACACGATGCTTTCTCCAGTGTCATTTATTTTGGCGTTTTGATAGAGTCATTTATTTTAGTGG